AAAATGTTTGATAAAAGACGCACGAATTATCGAGCTTCAAAATGGGGAAACAAAATCGTGTCCCCACACAGACACATCGATGCATACAGAAACAGGAAAATAAAAGGTTTTTTTCTTTTTTTCTTGCATTATTCGACGTTTCGAGGTCCCCTCAGAGCAAAAATGTAAAGATTTTTTATGGGTCAAAAACCCATAACCATACTTTCCCTCTGTTAATATAACTTATATACAACAACTAAAAAGTAATAAAACCCGGGTGCTTATCTGAGTGTCACGTGTTCAGAAGATAGTCTTAATTAATGAACGAGTTGGTGCCGTATGATAAAAACGTGCCAATGTGTCCGAAATAGAAAATCTTCGACAGTTGTAATTTGCCCGGCTGACATATTGTTTGGAGACACGGTCTATGACAAGATGACAAGAGAATTATGTTAAGGATAATATATCAGATGAAAACTGAAGAAGTAAGAAAACGAACTAGGATTAGAGATATGGCGTAATGGGTTACTATACAATTCCTCCGGTTTCATTTTCCTGGAGTTTTCTGTTGCGGTGTGAAGATAAAGATGATCTGGAATACGTGACAAGAAAAATAAAAGAGGAATGTTTTAAAAGAGGTTTATATTTAAACTAAGTAAAACAAAATATTTATACATAGGAGGGGCTAAAACAGACTCGGAACTGGAAGGAGAAAAGATTGAGGGATGTGAGCGTTACAATTATCTTGGAGTACAAATTCATCAAGATGGAAGAGATACATTAGAAATTAATACAAGATTAGCGCGAGGTAAGAGAGTAGTAAAAAGATTAAATGGAATATGGTGGAGTGAAGAAATAACTAGATCAAGAAAAAAACAAAGAATATATAATGCAATTGTCAAAAGCATTCTGTTATACGGGAGGAGGCACGAAGAATGACTGGGAAAGAGAAGAGAAAAGTAACAACGGTTGAAATGGATGCATCGAGAACATCGTGCAGAATATCAAAAAGGAGAAAGAATAACTAATGAGAGAATCAAAGATCTAATGGGATTGAAGGAGCCGGTTTTGGAAGAAATACAGAGAAAGCAACTTATTTGGTTTGGACACGTGAAAAGAATGAGTGACGAGAGACTCCCGAAAATGTCAATGGAATGCATTCCACAAAAAAAAAAAAAAAGAAAAAGAGAGGAAGACCCAGGCAAACCTGATACGACGGAGTAAAGTTAGCGTGAAGTAAAAACGGGGATTAAGGAGGAATGGTGTATGGATAGAGAGAGATGGAGAGTTCCTGGAGGTCGGAAGGAAGATGATCGATGGACAAAGAGAATAACAGAATGGACCCACAAAATCAAGTAGAAGGATGCACGGGCGACCAAGAATGATATGGAGAGACGAAATACAATAGAGACAAGATGAACTGGATGCAAATAATTCGGGATAAAAGTCATTGGAGAGGACTATCTCCTGTAGTGGAGAATAACGGATGATGATGACATTTTCAACAAGTTCGTATTGCAACTCACATAACCGGAGACTTAACTATAAATTCATTTAAAATTCAGACGTAGAAGAAACACAAAACCTTCGCAATCGTCCTTTGTAATTTTTAAATTGTGCCGCCACCAGAGAGTATTTTTAGACAATTTTAGCGTATCGAGGTGGAGAAGAACCTCAAAATAAAGGTCTGATCCGCCGTGACAGTGTTGTTCCCGAGTTGTTAGGACGATTGTGAGGGTCCCGTGTTTCTTCTACCTGTGGATTTTAAATGTTTCTTATTCCTTAATTCAACGTGTTTTAAATAAATATAATCACGATCAAATAAATTGAATTAATTCGTAAACCTTAAACTCTGAATCATGGAGCTCTTTGTCTGTCCTTTTGTATTGATGCAAAACTGTTTTAAATACGTTTACTTTGTTTTAATTAAGCTGGGTCTATATTATTAAATAAATAGATATTTATAGAATAAATGTATTTAAGATAAGAAATTTTTACGTTTCCTTACAGTTAATTATTAAATTTCACCACTCAAATTTAAATATCTAGACAATATTTGGTTCGATGGAATTAGCTAGTGCAACACGTCAGCCATCTGTCAAAGAAGTGCCTCTATGGTAATCCGAGCCCTATTTAGGTGTTTTACACGCGAAGAAAGTCCGGAAAATCCACTCGATCAGCTGGTTGATGAGGCACGAACCCGCGACCAATTAATTACCTGTGCTCGGTAGTTTTATCCACTCGGCCACTGGTGGATCGTGACAATGAGCGTATTCAAAATCTCCGAGTGCAGCCGGCACCTCTGTTCAAAATCCCAGACCCAGCGAACAAGATGGCAGCTCTATTAGGTTGGAAATTTTGAATCTTGTTGATGAATAAATCCTGAATAAATTAAAACTCGGTTAATACATTAATAGAATATTTTAATATACGTAAGACATGACATAATTTGTTTTAGTTGTTAAAAAGTATAATCTTACGATTGATTTAGTTATTTAAAAAATCTTCATTTTTCATTAAATAAGTTGAAAAATAAATTTAACGTAACGTGCAAGTCCACATCATTCGCCATTTTTCTTCTTTTTCTCTTCCGATATTTCTGGCATGCTGAAATTTTGAATATGCTCAATATTTACATTGATAAATTTTTGTTAGTAAGCTATAAAATACGCTTTACAATGGAAGTAACAACCAGCTTGTTAATATTTAATGCAATTTACAGGCAATAAAATGTTATTGGTCGTATTCTTTACATACACGAATAAAATCTTTGATTACCGTTTAACGTACCGACATCTATTTGTATTACATATAATGACAATTTAAGAAATTTTATCAAGTCCACAAGAAGAATTTTAACATCCTTGCGTAATAGGATTGTCAGAATTCTTCCTATGGACACGCAATGGATGTGTACTTTTACTCTAGCATTGACAGAGATACGTTTAAAATATGGAAAAGGTACTTCCGATAAATCAAGTAGGATCATTTGAATATCTAATAGAAATATTGTTCAATTTCAATTTAATCGAGTTATTCACGGCATTTTCATTTTGTACACATCTGGAAAATTTATAGACATTAATCTTATAAGTAAATTCAGTTAGCAAGCTGGCAAGCAAGCAACGATACAGTATTTGGTTTCATATAAAACGGACTGCCATTGGCACGCTTACGTAGCTGCTCCAACATATTCAATACGTGACTCGACTTTCGGTACATTTTTCATCGAAAATTACAGGTAATGTTACGAACATTTGTTTTGTAATATTTCATCTTCAATTGCTTTCTTAATTTCAACATTTATATTATACTGTAGTGTCAACGTCGCTACAGATGGATGTTTTTAACTTTCTACCTTTTTGGAACCCATTGCGAGTTTGTTAGGTCCACGATGGGTGGTTGAGTGGCGAGGGATGGAGCCCGACATATCCGAATGTATCATCCTCGAAAAATTCCTCAAGTTTTTTGACTCGTCCGGATTCGATCTCGGGTCCCCCAGAGAGGCAGCTCGTCATCTTAGCCGTTCGCCTTCCGGCCTTTATCATTTACGGTAATAAAAGACAAAATTGCTAGCGTAAAAATTCCAGCAGCGACAACAGTTAACACTAAAGAATGTTTCTCGAAGCCATATCTACAAACTTAGTCTTATACTATATGTAGAATGTAATTTACGAAGACAGCGCTGGACGTAAAAATAAAGAGCCTAAGTAAAATTTAAATTATTCGCACAATTAGAAGTCTGTTTAATTAGTTTTTAAAATATTTTAAGTGAAAAAAGAAGCATATTACAGCAGATTGCAACTCGATATCGGCGGTTATTTCCTTATTACTTGGAATATACGTTCGTCGTAGAGACGTATAAATAGTCGACGAATACATAATACGGCGATTACACACGTAAACGATGGATTAAACAGAGCTATCAGACAGTCGAAGAAAAAACCGGCCAAAAGCCCAAAGTCACTCAATCGCAAAAATTTTGGTAGTAGTGTTTTAAAACTTTTCAATAAAAAACGTAAAATATAAATGTTATAAAAGAGTAAACTATAAGAAAAATGCCAACCCGTAGACATTTGTTAATGTTATGTATACTGTAACTGCATTAATAAGTGGTATACAGTACAAAGGGAAAGTAATGATAAAACTTTTTCTTTAAAAGGGACTAAAAAGTGATGGATTTTTCCGAAGCTCCTAAAAACGTATAGTCATTTTATTGCGCATAAAAGTATACATAGAACACGAGCTCTAGTAAGTGGCGTTAAAAATATACTTTTATTATGAGAAAATTTTGGAAAACGGAAATTAAATTAAAGATACTTTCGAATTCGTTCATTTTATACAATTAAAAATTCGTAGAAAATTAAACGTGATTACAATAAGATTCTATTGCCAAGTATAAAAAATCAAATTTACATTTTTCCATTTGGAAAGAATTATGTATCATTTAACTGCGTGCACTTCACTAATTGCAAGAAGAGAATGAGCTTTTCACTTGGACAAATTACACTTATTACGGACACCGAAGTCCTCTTATATTCTTCGATTTCTACGAAACGCTTGCCGTATTTGGATTTCCTTCGTTTGCCTGTCAAAATTGAATTAATCCGACATTACGATTATATTACTTTAAATTCACGCGCTATTTTATGGAAATTCTTTTATATGTACTGTACGGTACATTTTCCATCTTAAAGCATTATTTGTTTAAAGACGGAAAATGAAAGAACCGTTAAACACCAATACAAATGTAAATTATATACATTTTCTAGATTTAAAATTACTGTAGAGTTAAATAAAGATTATTTAAATGAGTTTCATCACAAGTATTCTTATACAGGAATAAATTTATTACATAGAAATTTATGTACAATTAATGACATTAAAATGTATGATATCCAGATATAATTTATCATTCATGAAAATAGTAGCACGGTTTTGAAAGCTACGCAATATATTAAAACATCTGAATTAATATCTAATAAGACGAAAAGAATGGCAAAAAATGAGACGAAACGTTATAATTTAAAATACATAACTTATTTTTATTTAAACTTCGTCTTCGTTTAATAACATATTTGGAATTCCGTCAGTAATGGGAAACTTTCTGCCGGTTTCCGGGCACAGAAGATCGCCAGATATTACGTCAACCTAAAATAAATTACATTTTCAATATTAAATATTACAAGTAATTATTAACTATAGCTTCTCTAAAAGTTGTTCATATTGACTACTATATGTGTAGGTTTGGCTCTATTCCAAATATTCAATCATCAAATAATTAGAATTTTGAACATTTCATTTTTAGTTCGATAAACACAAATCATTATGTCATTTCTAATTTAATTTTGTATTTTTCAAGTAAAAGATTGACAATTTCTTTTGTTTTCTTTACCGTAATCTATAATTTTCATTCAAATTTCTTTTGCAAAAGGATATTTTATAAGTTTCCAAGATTTACATTTTTCTCTCTTAACCATGCACTAAAATAATAATTACCACAAGATTAACCCGAATTCCAGCTTTGACATCTGTGCAAATGATAGTTTTATGAAACATACTACTATCTAAGAAGCTGTTTTGTATTTATTCTCCGACAACTAACTCACTAATTCGGTAGCGAAGCAATAGCAGTCACAAATACAGTCATACCCCGGACTTACGCGATAGGTGGGACCGAGCGATAACCGCGTAAATCGGGGTATAATTTTGCATATAAATACATACAAATAACTTTTAATTGGGCCGGAGACTAAAGAAAACAATAATTTAGAAAAAAATGTTTAATAAAATCTTAGATAATACATATGTATAACAAATTATATTATTATACAATTTTTCACACTAACTTGATTATCAAACCATAATTTTAACATTGTTTCCATCTCAGCGATAATACCGTGACGTTTACGAATGATGATTGAATTTAAAGATTGAGAATTTTTTCTTTACCTTTTATAATTGTTCCGACCGACAATTCTGGTAGGTCAAACTCCTTTGCCAATTTACAAATTTTCATTTTTGTATCCAAGTCTTTAATAATGTTAACTTTACATTCCAAAGATAAAGTTTTTCTTTTCTTGTTTGATGCAGAAGAATCAGTTCTACTTCGTTTGGATGACATAGTAGAGTGTTAAGATTAATCATATTCGTT